GTCGGTGCGGTCCTTGAGCGCAACCCGAAGAGCGCGGTTCTCGGCGTGCAAGTCCGCATCGCCCCCGCCGGTGCCCTCGCCGCTGCTCCCGGCAGCTCCGCTGCTGCTCGCGGCGGCGCCGTCGGCAGAGCCCGCCTCTCCGCCGCCAGTGCTCTGGCTGCCGGCACCGCCCGCCTGCAGCCGCCGGTTAGCCGCCGCTCTCTGGCGGTGGCGTTGTCTGGCAGCTGGCGAGCGGGTCGGCTTTGTAGAGGGGGGCAGCTCAGCGCGGGCCATCCCCGAGCTGCTCACGTAGAGCACCGGAGGTCGGGGCCCGGGAGCAGTGTCAGCTGCTGCGCCGCCCTCGGCGGTGTCGCTCTGCGCTAACCGCTCCTGCTCCACCTCCGCGCTCTGCTCCTTCTCGTCGTCCGCCTCCGCCGCCGCCGCCGCTGCCGCCAGCTGCGCGTAGTCCGGGAGGTCGCGAGGGAGGCCGCGCTCGAGATCTCCCATCCCGGAGCCGAACTCGCGCCTCCTCAGCGCCTCTTCCCGCTGGGCCGCGGCGCGAGCCAAGGTCGGCCTGCGGCAGGGGCGGTGGTGGAAGGAGGAGATCGGCGTCTGAGAATGCGTTGCGCCCGGGCCCACGGGACCCCAGAGGTTTCCTGGTGAGACCCCTGGGCCGCTTGAGGGTTTGTGACTGGCCCGGTTTCGACCTTTCTCTTCCTTTTGCTTCTCGTGGTAGCAGGGTTGTTGGCGATGGGGGCGGCGAGGGTGGTGGTGGAAGGAGGAGATCGGCGTCTGGGAATGCGTTGCGCCCGGGCCCACGGGACCCCAGAGGTTTCCTGGTGAGACCCCTGGGCCGCTTGCGGGTTTGTGACTGATCAGATTTCGACTTTAGGTAAGGTAAGGTAAACTTCTCCACACACACGAGGTGGTGGGGCAAGGGGGGGCAACCCTCGCGTCTCCACGTCTGACGACAGGAGCCCCACGGCATTCAAAGTGCAAGGCCCAGTGCGCGTGGGTGAGCGGTGTGTGTGTGTGTGTGTGTGTGTGTGTGTGTGTGTGTGTGTGTGTGTGTGTGTGTGTGTGTGTGTGTGTGTGTGTGTCTCACGTCACTGCATCCTCCGCCGGTTCCTCCCGTCGCCTCTTCTTTGTTCGAATGTTTTTCAATCCATCCTTCACGAAGCCCTCCCATGTAGCTAGCGTTCTTGGCGAATGTCTCGAAATGGCCAGCAGGCGCTGTCTGCTCGCGGTCTGTGCGGGCCGCTCGTCCTCCTCGCCCTTCTTTCGTCCTCCCGTCCCACCCCTCCACCATGGCCTTCTCGGCACTTCTTTCTCCATCCGCCTCGCCCTGCCTTTTCGCATCGTGCCGTTCGCCCTCCATTCGGTGACCTCCATGGCTGTCCGCCCCTTTTTGGGTGGCGCTCTCGATACGCGCCTCTTTTTACGCTTTTCATTGGAGAGGGGGGGACGAGGTCTCATCAACTTCGAAACCGCCTTTGAAAGGGGGGAAATGCGTCCGTCCCTGAGCGGGTTGAGGCGGGGGTGGTTTCACTGCGCCCAAGTGCCAAGCCCTGAATTGAGAGCGCCTTGGGCCTTCGCTCGGTTTTTTTTTCCCTTACACTGGGTTGTATGTTCTTTTGGTCCTTCCCTAGCTTTCACATTCGGGTGCGGCTGTTCTCACTGACAGCAGACTCCTCTCACCTCTCTCTTCAAACAACCCGCACTCCAAACTCCTCTTCAAAGCGGCGCCTCCCTCGGCCCCGCGCGGTCGCCTCCGCTCGGGCTAGCCCTCGGCTCCCCGGCGGATGGCGCCGCCGCCGAGCCTCCTCGAAGCGTTGTTTGGCGGGACGAGGCGGAAGACAGCGGCCGGCCCGCGGTAGGCCCCATCCGGCATCATGGACGGCAGCCAGCGGCTCCCCTCGCCGGTCCGCTCGGTCACCATGCGGTAGAGGGCGGGCGCACCTAGGAGTAGATGACTGGTGAACTCATCGCTGACTAGAGTTCGGGCGCCATGCGGCGGAGAGCGGGCGCGCCTCCGGCGAGCGAGCGCTTGTTTGGGCAGCCTGAGAGCGGGAGGACTGGCGCGCCCGCAGGCGTGCCCATCAGCCACTCGTGCCGCGCCTCCTCGGCCATGGCGTGCGTGAAGGCGCCTAGTTGAGAGGCGCCCGTCTTGTCACCGTTTGGCACCGCTCTCGGGCGGGCTCCCCGGTCCGGTACCCAGCATCCTGTCGAGTCCGGTCCTTTTCGGTCCAGTCCTGTCCAGTCCTCCGGTCTGGTCTAGTGTTGTCCCCGGTTCGGGTCTGACCCCACGACTTGCGAGGCGGTGTCGCATTAGCCTTTGCAGCGGGGGACTCGGCGTTGTGTCGCCCCCGACTAGCCGCTCTCTGTCTGCCTGCCCGTTCTCGACCGACCGTGCGTCCGATCTCGTGCGATCTCGGCGCGCGGGGCTGTGTTGCGCGGGGCTGTGTGCTTGCGCGAGAGGCGCCTCCGAGGGCGCTGGTGACAGCCCAGTAGATGCCCTCAGCCACCACGCACCGCTCGTCGCACGACTCGTCCGAGTACGCAAACTGGCCGATGCATGCGCCACCGCACGGGTCGCGCCAGTCGCCGCGGAAGCCCCAGCCGCAGTCACCGTTGGCCGCCTCGATGTGGCCGCCGACCTGGGAGGAGCGAGATCGGGCGAGATCGGGCGAGATCGGGCGAGATCGGGCGAGATCGGTCGATGGGGCCGCTGACCTGGGAGCGGAAGGAGCCGCCCCACAACTCTGGCCACTGCCGGCCCGCCGCCGCGACAACGAGGTGGAGCACCTGCGTGGTGTGAATCCACCACCTGCGTGGTGTGAATCCACCGCCATCGGGGCGGGAAGACGGTCTGGTGCAGAGTCTTCAGAGCACCGCGTCATCACACGGGCTACGATGCGGCCAACACAACGACTGCGGCGACTCGGCCGGAAGCATCCGGAATCCGAATGCAGCGGAGCACCGCGCCCTCCGTCTGCTACGTGAATCCGGATTCCGCTTCTCCGCCGCGGGACGCCACGGGTGGGGGGGGGGGGAGGCGGCCGGCGCCGGCGGGCGCAGCGGGCGCGGCGCGAGCGGCTATCGATGTGGCTGTAGTCCGCGCGGCACTCACCTCCTCCACAGTCGCGTCTCTGCGCCGGTCGCAGAGCGGCGGGCCGGCGCCGACCGCGGCGGCCCACCCGCCCGCGCCGCCCGCGCCGCGGCTGGCCGGCGCCACACACGAGCGCAGGACGACGTCGGAGAGGCCCGCGACACGGCCGACGCCTAATGCATTCATCGATTCAATTAAGTCGATCTCACGACATTCGGAGAGGCCCGCGACACGGCCGACGCCGCGGCGGGGTAGGTCGGCGTACGCCTCGCCCTCGCGGGCCGGGACCTGCGCGTGCGTGTGCGCGCGTCAACTTGTGTATGCCGGTGCGCGTGTGTGCATATGCGCCGGTGTCTGGTGGCGTGTGTGACTGCTACTATCGACACCATGACGTAGTAACGGCGCGCGACCATGCGCCGGCGGAGGAGTGGGTCGTCCGGCCGCCCGTCCGCGTCGTTGTCGAGCAGCTGCGCGAGCACGTGGAGTACATGATCGCAGCGGGCGGAGGCGGCGGAGGAGGCGGCGGAGGAGGCGGCGGAGGAGGCGGCGGAGGAGGCGGCGGAGGAGGCGGTGGAGGAGGCGGCGGAGGAGGCGGTGGAGGAGGAGGCGGAGGCGGGGTGGTGGCGCCTCGACGCCGACCGGCGGAGCGCGCAGGCTGTCGCCGCGGACGCTGTGAGGCAGACCGGGACGCGGAAGGCGTACCCGACGGCGGCGCACGGGGAGAGCCAGCCGGCGGGTGCGAGGTCCCACCACAGCGGCGCTGCCATCGCCGCACTCACGCACAGACTCGGCAGCCCGGGAAGGCGGCAAGATCGGTGGGTTGGGTTCGGTTCTTAAACCCCAGGGAACTCTGGTCCAGTCCAAGCCTGGCTGTTCTTCACCTTTCTACCTACCTACCTGCTTACGTGTGGTCGCCCGCGAAGGCAGCGCATCTCTGGCTAGAACTTGTATTTTCAAAACCAAAAGGACAACCGCTCTGTGTCTTGCTTCGCCAACAACATACCTACAACAAAGGACAACCCACTGCTAGCATTGCTTGTACACCTTGAAGCGCATGCTCGTCCAGCTCCACCGCTCGATGTGCAGCGGCGCCCGGCTAGACGAAGGCATGCCAGCTGCCGGCACACCCCTCGTCGGCGCCGCAGAGTCGGCTAGTGCTAGCACGCGCCAGTTCGCACCTGTGTCGAGCCTGTCTGCTGTGTGAGAGAGTTGTTTTGTTAAATTCTCTTGCGTCAAGGTGCTTGCGCTTCGGCGGTTAGTGGCGAAAATATGCATTTTTCGAGGCATAGGGAGGAAAAATCGCGCCGCAGGCGCACACAGGCAGGGAGGAAGGGAGAAGTTCAGCTCTAGAGAGGCCGGCCTTCTTTCTAGCGAGGCTCCCGGCGTGGCGAAAATATGCATTTTTCGAGGCATAGGGAGGAAAAATCGCGCCGCAGGCGCACACAGGCAGGGAGGAAGGGAGACGTGAAGAGTGCCCGTGAAGTGCTAAATAAACAAATGCTTCGCCTCCCGGCTGTGGAGAAACCCTTCGGGTCGCTCCTCATCGCAAACCCTGTCAGCAGAGTCCTCCTACGGGAATGTACGTAAAGAGCTACATACACTGAAAATGATGATTCGCACGGAGTTTCCGGAAACTAGAGGGTGCTGTAGGGAAACGAGCAGCGGAGCAGGAAACGAGGAAAGGAAATGGGACGGGGTGCGGGAGGAAACATGGGTTAGTCAAACAGAATCCCGGCACGCTGCAGCGACACATACAGACACACACGCAATTGACTGATAGAAGGCGAAGAACAGCCTGGCTCGGGCTGGACACCACCGCGGTATGGGTGGAGAAAACGCAAAGGTACTCTTGGCTTGAATCGCCGGGCGACCTTATCTCACGTGCCCGGTCCACGCCACCTTTGGCGTGCTCATGCGCCGTGGCAGCTCGTCCCTCGTTGGCGCGTCTCGGCGCCTCTCCTCGGAGGCCGCATTTCTCCGACGGCGATCAGCCAACCACGCGCCGCTCACGCCGCTCACCTTCCTCGCTCGCGCCGCCGACGTCTATCCCGACCGAGTAGCCATCGTCTACGACGACTGGGCCGCCTCTCCCGCGGCGGAGTGGACGCCGGCCACTGAGCGGACGTGGGCGGAGACCTCCGAGCGTGTGGGTCGCCTTGCCTCTGGCTTGCGGCACCGCTTCGGCGTCGAGCGCGGCGACACGGTGGCGGTGCTCTCGCCAAACACGCCGGCTTTCCTCGAGGCGCACTTTGGCGTCATGGCGGCGGGCGCAGTGATCAACCCGATCAACACGCGGCTCGACGCGCCTGCGCTGGCCTACATTCTGCGCCACTCCGCCGCTAAGGTACTGCTCGCCGACTCTGCGCACGCGACGACAGTCGAAGAGGCGCTCTCGGAGCTCGAGCTGGCAGAGCGGCCGCGGCTCGTCTCGCTCGTTGACACGGTGGCCGGGCCGCACGCGGGCGGCGGAGGGGGCGGGTGGGGGGAGGAGTGCGAGTACGAGGAGCTGCTGGCCGGAGGCTGCCCGGAGGAGCCGTGGCGGTACGGCCGGGATTTGCTCCCCATCAGCTTCCTAGACCTTTCTCTAGACCTTTCCTGGAACCGTCCTGTAGGTACCCGGAGGACGAGTGGGAGACGCAGGCGCTCAACTACACGAGCGGCACCACCGGCAGGCCGAAGGGGGTGCTGTTCTCCCACCGCGGCGCGGCGCTGAACTCGATCAACAACGCGCTCATCTGGAGCCTGCCGCAGCACCCATCCTACCTTTGGACCTTGCCCCTCTTCCACTGCAGCGGCTGGTGCTTCCCGCACACCGTCACGCTGCAGGCGGGGGCCAGCCGCACCGCATGAGATCACCCGAGATTACCCAAGATCACCCGAGATTACCCGAGATTACCCGTCACGCTGCAGGCGGGGACTCACGTCTGCCTGCGCTCTGTGGACCCCGCTGCCGTCTTCGCCGCTATCCTCTCACAGCGCGTCTCGCATCTCTGCGGCGCCCCCGTCGTCGCAAACATGCTGCTGCATGCGCCCGGCGCCGCGCACTTCGGCGCAGCGCTGACCAGCGCCGCGGCGGGCGGCGGCCAGCGGGTGAAGCTGCTAGTAGGAGTAGGAGTAGGAGTAGGAGTAGGAGTAGGAGGAGTAGTGGTAGTAGTAGTTTTGGCCCAATGGGCTCGGGGTGCCAACATTAGGTCAAGATGCTCTGCGCCGGCGCGCCGCCGCCCGCGGCGGTGCTGGAGGCGATGGAGGGGCTGGGTGTCGAGGTGACGCACGTGTACGGCCTCACCGAGTCGCACGATCTCGCGTGATCTCGCGTGATCTCGCCCTGCAGGTGACGCACGTGTACGGCCTCACCGAGTCGCACGATCTCGCGTGATCTCGCGTGATCTCGCCCTGCAGGTGACGCACGTGTACGGCCTCACCGAGTCGTACGGCCCCGCGGTGGCGTGTTCGTGGCAGGAAGAATGAGAGTAGCAACGAGAGCAATGAGGAGAGCAATGGGAGTGGCAATGCCGAGGAGATAGCGATGGCCATGATGAAGACGAGCGGACTGCCGGTGGCGTTCTCGTGGCAGGACGCGTGGGCGGGGCTGCCGCCGCGGGAGCGTGCGGAGCTCATGGCACGGCAGGGGCATCGGTACCCCCTCCTCGAGGGCCTCGACGTCGCGGTGGAGGCGGAGGCGGGCGGCGAGGCGGCGGGCGGCGAGGCGGCGGGCGGCGAGGCGGCGGGCGGCGGCGGGCTCGGGCCGCGGTGGAGGGCGGCGCGACGGGACGGGCTCGCGCTGGGCGGGGCTGTGATGGGGCGACTCCTCCCCCAATCTCGCCGCATCTCGCCGCATCTCGCCGTAGGCTCGAGCTGGGGGAGGTCGTGATCTCCCCCAATCTCTCGCCGCATCTCGCCGCATCTCGCCGTAGGCTCGAGCTGGGGGAGGTCGTGATGCGCGGCAACGCTGTGATGAAGGGGTATCTCCCCCATATCTCGCCATATCTCCCCCATATCTCGCCAACGCTGTGATGAAGGGGTGGTTCGCGGACGAGGGCGCGAGTCTCACATGGGCCATGGAGCATTGCTCGCTCATGCCTCGTTCTTAGGTACCTCGCGGACGAGGGCGCGACGGAGGAGGCGCTCGGGAGTGGCTGGTTCCGCACGGGCGACCTCGCGGTGGTCCACTCTTCCCGTACCTTTCCTGGACCGTTCCTGGACCTTTCCTCGAGCCTTCCTGTAGGCGACCTCGCGGTGGTCCACCCTTCTGGGTACCTCGAGATCAAGGACCGCGCCAAGGACATCATCATCTCAGGCGGCGAGAACATCTCGACAGTCGAGGTCGAGAGCCGTGCGGTGCCGCCTCACGAGCTCGCTCTCAATGGAGTCACGAGTGATTTCATGTGCAGGTCGAGGCCGTGCTGTACCGGCACCCGGCGGTGCTCGAGGCGAGCGTCGTGGCAAGGCCGCACCCGCACTGGGGCGAGACGCCGTGTGCTTTTGTCACGCTGCGGGAGGGGCACCGCTGGGAAGAAGGCGGCGGCGGCGGCGGCGGCGGCGGCGGCGGCGGCGGCGGCGGCGTGACGAGCGAGGCGGAGATCGTCGAGTTTTGCCGCGCGCGGCTCGCCCACTTCAAGGCGTTTGTGGGTAGTGAATCCATTGGTTACGGCGGCCGGGGTGGTTGCGCTGACCGTGCGGTTTCGCCCGCGTCCAGGCGCCGCGCTACGTGGTTCAGCTGCCGGGCGGGATGCCGCAGCCGTCTCGATGGGCATGTGTGGAGGTGGGGGTGCTCACCGCTTGGTGATGGGCCATAGGCGGGCTGCCAAAGACGTCGACGGGCAAGATACAAAAGTTCCTGCTGCGCGAGACGGCGCGGCTCGCCGCCGAGGAGGAGCAGGGCGGCGCGGAGAGCGGGCCCGAGCGGGTGGCGGTCTGACTCTGAGTCTGGCAGCTTGGTCTGGAGCCGGACGGTGTGTCCGCCAAACAAGCGCTGAGCTGTAGGAAAAAAATATCTTTTGCCGGCGCTGACGCGTAGTGAGTATGTGTATGGGGTTGAGGGCGTTTTCTTTCTTTCTTTTTGACAGCGCCTTCGTTGTTAATAGAGTAATACAAACACAGTGTGGTCCCGTGTCGTAGTCACACCTGCCGTAGCCACACACACCTGAAGCAGGAGGAGCGATTGGCCCGAACACAGTGAGGTCCTTCGTGGGGGGGTTGCCTCGCGTGCATCTCCAGCGTTCTCGGCTATTCCTCGCGCCTGGAACATGAGGTTCTCTTCGGGAAAAAGCTTGTACTCGGGCGGGTTGGTCGCCCCCTCCCCCATGCCCGCAATCCCGTTCATGATGCCGGCCTGCGCAATCGTGAGGACGTACATGATCGAGGCGGCGACGCCGACGCCCGCGAGGCGCGCGATCGCCGTCATATCGTCAAGCAGCACGAGTGGCAAGAATAGGACCGAGAGGACGAGCACCTACCAGCAGGCCGCCTCGGATTGGTGTGCAAGTAGGCTGGGTTCCGTCCCGCTGCTGGGTCGAGGCTTCTGTGTTCTGAGCCACTCGGTCCTAATCGTGTCTCCTCTACTCGACGAGTCACCCAATGGCGGTATGGCAGCCAGGCGTTGGTGACAAACTCCAGGCTCGAGCCAATGAGGATGAGGTAGGCGCCAGAGAGGAAGAGGAGGAACGAGTTGACCATGTGCACAGCCATCGACCGATTGTCAGGCACAGAATTTACCCACCGCCGCGCCCCGGCTGCGACACCATCGCGACTCTGCGACACCGCTCGCCTGCATGAGCCAAGGACTGCGCGGGCTAGGGGGCCACACAGCGCACTTCTCTACACTGCGCGCAGCGACGTGCGCTTCTGTGGGACCCAGCGGCGGGGAGGAACCGGGCCGGGGCCGGAACGGCGCGGCGGTCGCCGCCGGCGTCAAAAGATGGTGATGAGGGCGAAGCCGGTGTAGAAGAGCATCACGGGGTAGAGCTAGAGGAGGAGCCACCGCTGGTCGTCAGCCTGCATGATGATGACGAAGAAGAGGGCGGCGGCGTCGTGGAGCACCAGAACACCGTCAGCGGCACGAAGAGCGCCCCCCACGCGCCGGTCAGGTCGAGCGGGAGGGAGAGGGCGGCGAGCAGCACGATCGGCAGCAGGCAGTAGCTTCCGAGGACACACGCACACGCCGCTCCGCACCCTCCGCTCGCCCGCCCGCCCGCGCCCCCCCCCGCCCACAGGCGGGAAAGAGATGAGGGGATGGGACAGCGAAGGAGGACGGCACAAACACGTATGGGAGGGTAAAGTTTCTTTTTTACGTGTGTCGAGGCTCAGTTTCGAGTTCGCTATCATCTAATCGCGCCGCGGGGATGTGCGTAAAGTTTGGGCGACGTGAGTGGCCGAGATCAGCCCAAAAGCCCGTCCTCGGCCCCGTCGCAAGCCTCGCTGCTACCCCTTCCCGCCTCGGGCGGGCTACTGTCGGGCGGGCTACCCCCGTCGCCCGCCGGACTGCCCGCCGCGGGACTGCTGCCCGCCGTCCGACTACTGCCACCCGTCCCGTCGCTCCGCACGCCGTCGCTGGCCGGGCTGCTCGCCTGTTCACAGCCGCAGGGTGTGAAGGGGCGGCCTGCCCGCCGTCGCGGGTCTCGCTGCGCCGGGCTCTGCTCGCCGAAGACGGCCCCGCCGCTGCCCCGTGCGCCCCCTGCGCCGCCGCCGCCGCCCCGGACACCACCGCCGCCGCCGCCGCCGCCGCCTCCGCCTCCGCCGCCGCCGGCTCTGCCGCCGCCTCCCCCCCCTCCCGTGCCACGCCCGTCGGCAGCCGGCTCCACGATGGGTCGGGAGAGTGGCCCGCCAGCGAGAGCGAGCCGCGCGAGAGTGTGGCGCTGGCCGAGGTGCGGCGCGACGTCTGGGCCGAGTCGGGCCCGCCGATCGCCACGCCGGTCCGCTTCCTCCACAGCTTGAGGACGGCGGCCTGGTGGCCGTTGGTGTGCAGCTCCGCGAGGTAGTCGATCGGGTGGCACTCGACGACCGCCTTTGGAGGGTCGAGTAGTCCTGGGGAGTGCTCCCTGACTGCGAGTACCGTGGGAGAGCGCTCGCCCACCCCCTCGGGTCCTCCGCCGTGTGCTCTCAGTACTGACCCCTGCCCGGCGTGGCCTCGCCTTCGGCGGCCGCCTCGCCACATCTCCCACTCTCTCCCTCCATCTCCCCCCCCCCCCCCCTCCCTCCTCCCTCCCACCTCCCTCCCTCTCCCTCTCTCGCGCCTCGCGCTCGTTTCGCTTGTAGAGCAGCCACGAGTTGCCGTCGCTGTACACGGCGCGGATGTCCTCGAGCTTCAGCTCCTGTGAGCCGGCGCAGGGGCTGTTGGGTGGTGCTGGAGGTGTAGCAAGGTCTGTCAACTATACAATCGCGTGTGAGTCCTCGAGGGAGTGTCTAGGGAGTGTCTAGGGAGTGTCTAGGGAGTGTCGAGGGAGTGTGGAGGGAGTGTCTAGGGAGTGTCGAGGGAGTGTCGAGGGAGTGTCGAGGGAGTGTGGAGGGAGTGTCGAGGGAGTGTCGAGGGAGTGTCTAGGGAGTGTCTAGGGAGTGTCTTAGGGAGTGTCTAGGGAGTGGGGAGGGAGTGTCTTAGGGAGTGTCTGGGGGGAGCTCCTTGATTTGGTCGATGCGGACGGTGACGGTGCGCGCATCGTCGTCGAGCCGCTCGAGCGGAGTCAGCGGCCACAGCTTGCGCGAGCGGCGGTACACCTCGGCGAGGATGGGCTCGGGTACCGTGGGGGGAGGGTAGGGGTGGGTTCGGGTACCATGGGGGTAGGGGTGGCGGTGCACCTCGGCGAGGATGGCGAGCGCTTGGCTCGCCGAGTCTGGCGTCAGGGAGCGGACCAGCTGCGGCGAATAGTAGACGAGGATCGCGGGGCCGCCTGGCCGCTTCTGCGCCGAGGCGCGGAAGTGCTGGTCCGCGATGCCGGTGCGGCTCATCTCGTCGCAGAGCACCTGTGATTCGTCAATCAAGCAGCGATGACTGGGGGGGCCTTATTACGCCCGCGCCGCCGCAGCAGCACCTGAGATTCGTCAATCAAGCAGCGATGACTGGGGGGGCCTAATTAGGCCCGCGCCGCCGCAGCAGCGCCTTCTCGTCGTCGGCCGAGAGCTTCTCCCACGCGGCGAGGACAGACTCCTGCGCCTCGGTGCTCTGCGCCTGGCACAGCAGCCTCATCATCGCGATGGCGTGCTCCCCTGACGGGGGCGCGCCGAGCCGCAGCCGCGGCGCGGCGTCGCGCCAGTACGACTCAAGGTAGGTCTCGAAGACCTCCGTCTCGGTCTGCGTGGCGAGGGCGGAGAGGACGGAGAAGGAGGTGATGAACGAGCCCAGCACCTGGTACGGGAAGCCGAGCACGAGGCGCTCCGATCCGTCCAGCGGGTTTGGCACGGCGCCGGCCAGGTCGGTGAGCCAGTGCACAAAGTAAAACGAGACGTCGGGCGGGTTGGCCTCGCCCGCCATGATGACGCGCTTGAAGCGCGCGAAGAGCGCGTGCGGCGGCGCCTCGGCTTGCACCAGCCATCCGTGGTTGAAGGACATCTTCGACTGTGTGAAGAGCACCTGAGAAGAAGAAGGTGCGGCGGCGGTGCTGACAAAGATGCTATACTATACTATACTATGCTAAACTATACTATCCCACTACTATACTGTACTATGCTCTTGTACTGGTACTATACTACACTATAAGCACCGAGTGGCGCTGCGTCGCGTCGAGCCCGGCAAACGACGGCAGCGCCTGCGGAGAAGCAAGGCGAGGGGCGCTGCAGGACACGGAGCACACTGCAGGTGGACCGCGCGCAAGCAAGCGAAGGGGCCTCGCGCCTCTGGGAAGTGGTCGAGCACATAGTACATCGCAACGTCGTGGTCGTTGATGACGTCCCCCGCCGCGAAGCCCTTGAACGGCGCGTGCTCCGGTCGTACGCGCGGGAGCAGCGCCTCAACCTTGAAGACGTCGTGGATCGCCGTCAGCGCGAGCATCGCACACATGCGCGGCACGGCAACCTCGACCGCACCGCCGCGCCCGCCGCGCTCCGTGAGCATGCCCGCGTCGACGAGAAGCTGCAGCAGCTTCTTCCACGGCGTGTTGCAGTAGAAGGTTAGCCGCTTCTTCAGCGCAGCGGAGCCGTCGAGATCCTCCTGCTCCGGAATCTTGCGCGGCGCCCAATCGTCGTCCACGCCGAAGGAGAGACCGCACTCGCCGTCGATGCCCACGCGCGCCAGCCAGTAGAGCGCAAACAGCGCGCCCAGAGTGCGGCGGTACTCCTCGTCTGGAGTGAGACCCGAGGAGATGTCGCGGTGGCCCGCCTTGTACTCCTCGCGCGTCACCGTGTACAGCTGCAGCTCGGGGAAGGCCTGCCGCACGTCGACGTAGTACTGTCTAGGAAGTGTCTAGGAAGTGTCTAGGAAGTGTCAGAGAAGCCTGCCGCACGTCGACGTAGTACTGTCTAGGAAGTGTCTAGGAAGTGTCTAGGAAGTGTCAGAGAAGCCTGCCGCACGTCGACGTAGTAGTCGCGCAAGCCGTAGTCGCGGTGGCGGAGCCGGGTGGCGGCTCGCTTGACGGCGTCCCAGTCGGTGGTCCGACCCGACAGCGCGAGGGCGATGGCGAGGTTCGGCTCCTGCTTGCGCGGGAGGAAGGGAGCCTCGGGGCGGGGAGACGGCTGCAGTGCGGCAGAGTTGTCTCAGAGCACTGCGGAAGGGGCGACGAGGACAGTGGATACGGCGGAGTACGCGCCCTGTCGAGAGCGCTGGTTGGGAGACGAGAATACGCACTCCGCTCCTCTAGGCCTGGGGAGATCTGGGGAGATCTGGGGAGATCTGGGGAGATCTGGGGAGATCCGGGGAGGCGTGGCCTGTGTCCCGCTCCAGAGCAGCCGCCGCGCGAGTCTGTCCGCCTCGACGCAAGTCCACAGCGCGAAGAGCAGCACGCCGCTCGCTCCCACCGCCCCCCAGAGCAGCCCGTGCTGCGCGCTGCTGCCCAGCGCCGCGCCGCCGACAAAGAGTCCCGCCGAGGCGGCCGTCACCGCCGCAAGCCACACCGCCAGCAGCGTCTGCCTGGCGAGCCGGAACCGCGCGGCGAGGTCACGGTAGAGCGACTCCACCGCCGCCTCCTCGAACGGCGCCTCAAAGACGGAGGGTGCGAGGCACCCTCGGAACTTCAGCCGCCGCTGCAAGTCACGCAGCTTTTTGGCCGCTGCCGCCACGGCTCGGCCTGAGGTGGGCTCGCCGGACGTCCGCGTGGTGCGCCGTCGCCCGTTCCCGGAGGACGAGCCTCCTCCGCTCATCACACAAAATACGCGCCACGGCGGCGCGCGCGTCGGAGGTCCTATACGGCTGGTTCTTGTCGCTCCCCGATGCTGAACCCCGTCTTCTTCTCCTCTGTTTTTCTTCTTTTTCTGGGGGGGGGGGGGGGGGGCTGTCGGTTCGGAGGCGCCCGGCGGCCGCGCGCTTGGTGCCGACGTCGACCGGGGTGGCGCCGAGACGTGCCGCTTTGGTCACGTCTCGCGCGCTGCGAGGTGTCTTTTGGCATGTGAGCGCTTGCCAAAGACGCCAGCAAGCTCGCCTTCCTTGCCTGCGGCCGCGGGCGTGCGGGCGGGCCCGCCAGGCTCGGCGAAGCTCGGCGCGGGTCTTCGAGCTCGCAGCCGGCGGCGAGCCAGCATGGCTCGTCGCTCGACGGGAGCCTGTCCAGTATGCTCTGGGCATGCTGTACAGCATCGCCAACTCTCTGGGAGGGTCTACGACCCGGTGAGTGGGTGAGCGCCGCGCGGTCGAGTTGGCGTTACTGGTCGTCGGCTCGTCGCGAGGGGAGCATCTGCATATCGTGATGCGCCTCCGGATCTGTGGATGGAGCGGTCTTCGCTCTGCCCCTGGCCCAGCTGTGGGTGCTGAAGGACAGTGACCCCTTATACAGAGTGTCACATACTCCGACAGCCATGGAGGTCACCGAATGGAGGGCGAACGGTACGATACGAAAAGGCAGGGCGCACTGTGTGGAACGGGGGCTAGCTCAAGGTTGCCTTAGATTGTCAATGGAGAATGGCCGCGTTCTCGCCCCTTTCCTGTACGCGTGGGTGCGTCTCAGAGGACGAATGCGCACCGGATCTTCGAGGACTTCAAAGTCGGCCGCGCCCCACGGCTATCCCGCCGGCTATCGAGCGTCGCAGCGCGACGCGCTTCACCCCTCGACTCCGCGCTGCGAGTCAATCGGGAGACGACGCTCGGCCACCGCCACTCCACCCCCTGACGTGACGCACATGCGCCGAGTGTCCCCCCTTCCCGGGCATTCACACTATGTTGACGATGCCGAAGGAGGAGGAGGATGACGACGTGTCGTCGGTCGACATCGACGGGTCCGAGGACGAGGAGACCAAGGAGGAGGACGAGGAGGCCATGAATGACCTCAGCAACGCCGACATCGTGACCAAGTACCGGTGTGCCGGCGACATCGCGAACAGCGTGCTGACAGCCATCATCGAGGCGATCAAGCCGGGGGTGAAGGCGGTGGAACTGTGCAAGCGGGGCGACGATCTGGTGGAGGAGGCCACCTCCAAGGTGTACAACGTGAAGAAGGGCGGCAAGAAGGTTGAGAAGGGCTCTGCGTTCCCCACATGCATTTCCGTCAACCACTGCTGCGGCCACTACTCGCCGCTCACCTCGGAGGACGACGTGACGCTGGTCGAGGGCGACGTGGTCAAGATCGACCTGGGTGTGCATGTCGACGGCTACATCGGCGTCGTCGCCCACACGCACGTCTGCACCGCCGACGCCGCAGCGCCGCCCCGTGCTGTACAAGAAGAAGGCCGGCGAAGGGGAGGGCGGAGACTGAGCCGCCGCGCCGGCCGCATGCACCCTCGGGGGGAAAGGGGGAGGGGGGCGAACCCAGCCTGGCGGCGTCGGCGCGCGAGCGGCGGAGTGGGACGGGCAGCACTCACCCCCTCCCTCGGGGTGGGTGCGCAGTCGTCCCCCTCCGACCTCGCCTCCGCTGCAGCCCAGCCGCGATCGCCAACCTCCCCCTGCGCACCCCACACCCATCCTGTGTTGAGCATTACGTACGTGGGCTGGATCGATAGCGGCCCCGGTTCAGCACAGTAATAACCTTTAAAATGGATGGTTAGGCCGCGAGAGACTGCGCGACGTATCTCCGTGCGACACAGGGGAGCGCCCGGGGCCCTGGGCGCTCCGCCCGCGCCGCTGCGTACACCCCGCTCCCCGGCGCGGGCGCGGGGCGGCTGGCCCCCGGGCGGTGCTCTCTGTCTCTCATCTCTGGCCCGCCAGGAGACCACACCGGGCCGGCGATGAACCACGCGGCGTGCCCAGCCGAGAGAGGAGGGATGAGAGAGAAAATACGGTCATCACACGCCGTCGACGGCATCGGGATGGCCATGGGCGCAGCACACGAGTTAGCGCTCTGTGACATTACCTCAGCATCACATTTCGTCTTTGCTGGGTTGTTCAGCGCCTATCCCGGAATCTTCCAGACGCCGCGCGATTGCCAGCAGAAATGCTTGCCTCAGCGGCGCCATCGCCGTACCTGTGATGCAGTCAAGTGATGCTAGTGGAGTCGCTCTCCCATTTGTCGACCGTGCATTGCTCTACTACCTACTACTCTGGCGCTCACTGACGAAGATCAGCACTGCAGCCGTCACTCGTGGATTGCTGCTTTGCCGCCGCAGGCTCCTCCTGGGCTCCTCTGCAGCAGCAGCAGGCGGAGCACTAACCTCCGCCGTCTCCTTCGGCTCTTCCATGTGTGCGTCGCGAAGTGGAGAATTGGTTGCGTTTTCGGAAAAGAATTTTACCCGTCTCCCGACACGCGCGGCGTGCCGTCCTCCCATCCCTCCCTTGGGTTGTCTCTTTATTTTCTTCTTTAGGCACGGGACTGGCGCGCACTGGCACTAACACAGGTACCCCAGAAAAGAATTTAACAGAAAAGAAAAATGCGCATACAACGGGAAAAGAAACGGAGGCAACGACGGGATGGGCTAGCAGCCCGTGCGCAGTGGCAGCAGTGTGTCGCTCGAACTGCCGCTAGAGTGCGTGGTGGCGCAAAGGACCAAGGTCCCATCTAGCGTCCGTGTTTTCTTTCTTTCTGCGCGCTGGTCTCTGTTCTTCACCTTCCTACATACATACATACATCTGCAGTATACGGCATACAAGGAGAGAGAGAGGTACTGCAGTATACGGCATACAAGGAGAGAGAGAGAGGTACAGAAGAGACGTACAAGGTGAGAGAGTACAAGGTTGTCCGAGAGGAGCCAGAGCGCGCAAGGGCCAGTGCGCGGAGGACGCAGGAGGGCGAGGGCGCGCAGCACGCCCCTCAGACCTCAGCGCGGGCCGGAGTACGGCGGCGCCTGGAAGAAGTCGGGGGCCGGAGCCTTGCCCGCGTCGAGCGGGTCGTGCACCGTCCAGCTGCCGTGCTCCGGCGCGATGTCGTGGACCAGCCAGCAGCCCGCCGCCTCGCCGAGCATCTCGGCTGCCTCCGGATGGGCGTCCGCGTGCTGCCGTGCCAGGTGCCACTTGAACACCACCTCGCCCTCGGCGTCCGGCGCGTCGGGAAAGAAGGGCGACGCGCGAACGTGGACGTAGCACTCGTCGAGGGTTGGGCGGAGCGAGCCAATGATGTGCCAGGATCGCATCTTGAGGAGCGCAGCCTGCGGCCGGCCAGCGATGCCCGTCCACCGTGGCTCCCTGCGAATGGTCCAGCGAAATGCCGGCATGGAGCCCGCAGAACTGCGGTAGGCGCGACAGAGCTGACCATCCGGCGCGATGAGCGCGAACAGCGCCTCGATGTCGTCGTCGCCGCCGCGCTGGAACGCGGCGCACTGCGCCTCGACCACCTGCAGCGGCTCGAGCTCCGGCCTAGGCAGCAGGGCCTTGACTTGAGCTGCGGCTTCGCTCACCGATACGCCGGGCTCCACCGATCTCTCTGCGCACAGGCTTACTGCACGAAGCGGCGCTCCGGCCGCACCTTTACGGCTGCCTCGCACTGCAATGGGAACTGCGGGCTTAAACCACGCGTGCGGCAACGCGAGCACCGCGATCAACGCCATGCTAAGAGCGGGACGGGTTGACTTGGAGCGCTTTCGCGTTCGCGTCATCAAGGTGGGCTGTTTCTTTTCCACAGGTATGGCAGCCTGCTGGCTGTGTGTCTTGTGAGCCTGTTTGTGTCTGTGTGTCGCTCGTGCGTGTCGCCATCATCTGTCCAGCGTCCACCCATACCGCGTTGGTGTCCAGTCCGAGCCTGGCTGTTCTTCACCTTACTACCTACCTACCTAGCTTGAGCACTTGAGCACTGGATAGGGCCGATTCCGCGTGGTACGGGACCCCTCGATCGTCTCGCCCTCCCTCACTGGTGTGTTCATCGGGGGGGGTCATAACAAACACGGTACAGGATCGAGGTGCACGCTGCCGAGGCAGTGTCGTCCCCCCTACCTAGCTATCTATCTAACGAGCTGTCCTGTGAGGACCTCAAGCGTGGCCGCGACGCGGACCTTAGTTGCTGTGATGAGTTTGTGAGCACTCGAGCTGGGCTTGCTTATTGATGATGAGTGTGGGGGTACCGTCGGGTCTCTATTTTAAGACCAGGTAAACAGCAATAGATCCGGCCCTCACGCGGCCTAATCGATACCTGGCCCTCACGGAATCGGTCCCTCGTTGTACAGCAACTGATCCTTCCGCTGCTGGCGCCTCATCTACACCACCTCCGACAATATCCTGGGCACGACTCGGCCGCGCCCGTTCCGGCCGCGCTACAAGAGGATCTTGCAGTCGATCGATGCCCGTCAGCTCGCGGCGAAGAACGAGGAGTGGGTGCTGCTCGGGCTCCTCAAAAACATGGTTCGTGCCAGGCTCACGCCGCGGGACGACGGGCGAACTGTGGACGTGCAGTTCTTGCGCTTTGGCATCGGCTGGCTCCGGATACCTGCACCCGCCGCGGCCAAGGGCGTGCTCGAGACGACCTACCTCGACGACACGCTGCGCGTCTCGCGCGGTGACAAGGGCAACCTGTTCGTCCTCGTGAGAGAAGGGGGGTTTGCGGGTCTGAAAACGTCTCTGTGGACTGTGGCGTGGCCGGCGTGCACACAAGGGTGGCGCATCTCTCGTCACCTGTTCGGATTCGCGTTGCGTCGGGAGGACGTCTTGCTGTTACCTAGTCTCTCTGGCAACCCTGTCTGCACGTCTCGCGCGCGCGTGAACAGGGCTCCAGGCCCCAAATGACGTGTAAGTGTTAGATTTGTTTGTCTTCAGCTCCTTGAGCTAGAGTCGCACAAAAGAAAGTGAAAGTCCCAACTCGGGGCAACTCGGCAACTGAGAACTGTGTGTCGCCTCGAGTCGCGCGCGAGGGATCATGGTTGCTCTTTTTTATCTGCGGCTAGATTTACGACGTCCGTTAATTCTTTTTATCTTAATCATTCCGCTGTACCCTTCCGCTGCCCTTCCAGCGGCCGCTGTACCCTTCCAGCTGCCGCTGTACCCTTGCAGCGACCAAACATGGTCGACCAGCTCACTGGCTACTACCTGTTCTACTCGTCGTGCCAGCTCTTCTACGTGCTTGTGTACGCGGACGCCTTCGCTGCCGCAAACTTCTGCCTCTCGGTCGCCGCCTGCGCCATACCGTCCGACCTTCGGTGGTCGCTGGCAGCGCATTGTGGTTATGTGGCCCGCGCGGCATGGCTGATGCCCTACCTATTCAACAGCAACATCTGGCAAATGATATGCGACACGGGCTTCGTGCTGGTCACCCTCACGTTTGCCGCACGCCGCGGGTTAAGTGGCACGTCGACTCGGCCGATCGCGACGCCCTCCTCCGTGAAGCTGCCGCCGTGGTGTCGAACGCGATCGTGTGGTTCTACCTTGGCGCGGGCGTGTGGAAGATCAACTGGGGATTCCTCGACACGCAGGGCTCCTGTGCGCCAATCTACATCCTCCAGCTCTTGGACTACTACCTTCTCCCCACCGGCACGATGCCGCCAGTGTGGCTCACCCGCCTGCTTGGCGTGACTGCACCGGCTGTCGTGATTGCCGTCGAGACGTGTTTGGGCGTGCTCCTCCACCTACCTGGCGTCTGGCGCCTCCTCGGCGTCGCGCTCGGCATCCTCCTTCACGCGCTCATCGCGCTCACGCCCGGCCCAAACAACGCGGGCGGTTTCGGCGTGATGCTCCTCGCCCGGTACTGCTTCTTCGTGCCCGCCGCCGCCGCCGCCGCGCTCACCGAGCTGCGACTCCTGCGCGGCCCGCTTTTCGCCCTCGCCCTAGCCATCGTCGTCTCCAGCTCACTGCCTGCGCTTCTCCGCGGCGCCGACCACGTCTTCTTTGTCGACTGGTCGCTGCCGGTCTACACGGCCCAGGCACTAGTTCTCGGTCGCGCGTTGGCAATCGGCTGCCGCTGTCGCGTGGCGGCTGAGAATACGGCGGTGGCGCGAGGGGCGCGAACGAACAGCACTGGCTCGCCGCACGCGGCACGCGCCGACTCTAGCCGCCGCTCGTCGTCGTCAGCGCCGCGAGCCGCGCCGCGAGCCGCGCTGCAGGCCACGCCGCCGCCGCAACTTGCCGGCGGCGCCCAGAAAGCACTTCGCTGCGGCTTCGCCGCGTGGATGGTCTGGTATACGTTCGGCTTGCCCATCCTCGGGCTGCAGGACATGGGCAACGTGCATATGTTCGCGTCGCTGCGGCTGCACGGCGGGTCCAACCACCTCTTTTTGCCGACGGGCCTGCTGCAGGAGTGGCTGGTCAATGACGAGCCGTCCTCGCCGTGGTCAGGCGGCGTCGTGCGCGTCGAGTCCGCCACGTCGCCGACCATGCGCAACCTCTACCCAGCCGAGGTGACGCACATCCTCTCGCCGCGCACGCGTGAGCTGCTGCGCACGATTGGGCACACCGGGCGTCGACCGCCTTCTTGGATCGGCCAAACAATAACAATACACGGCACTGTGATGATGCTGTGATTAGGCGCCAGTGGTTCCCGCTCAAGACTCGCATCTTCGGCCCCGCACCGCACCCCGAGGAGCTCGTTGGTCCCCGCCTTCCGTACACCATCCCCGCGCTCGAGCTGCGCCGGCTGCTCAAGGAGGCGCGCGCTCGCCGCGAGGTGAACTACGAGCTGAGCTACACGCACCTGCCGAGGTGGTGGCGCAAGATGCCTGCCGGGCGCCTCGACGTCAATAGCTCTCGCGCGCACCACAGCGATTCTACCGTCGCCTTCTCCGTCGATGGGCGGGGGGTTGAGACCTGCACGTCCGGCCCGACGGGCGGGTGGATGCTCATGGGACGCTCTTCCACGCCCTGCGGCCCAAGGGAGCTGCCGAATCTGCCCCCGCCGGGCCTCTGGCCGCTTAAGTTCCTGCTTTTCTACCCCGTGCCGCTGCTACCAGCGGAGGCCGGCCCCTCGGCGGAGATGCCCTGCGTGGACCCGTAGCGTGTACAGAAAACGGTCGAACTCTGACGAATGACGTACGTATGTAAAGAGTGAATGCAGAAGATGGGATAGGGGAGGGATAAAGGTAAGTCGACATTGTGGTGTCGCTCGCGGGACCCTGCGAGCTGCGTGGGGCAGGCGTGTGGGGTTCCAGCTGCCGCGCATATGCACACACACGATCTTGCATGCGGGAGGGATCTTCAATCCACATCCTGAGACACCATCAGTCACTGCCTGGATCAACAACATGCATTCTATCTCCATCATCAGTCACATCGCAGCGCGATGTCCTGTCACAAACCAGCGGCACACCACGACGAGCAAATGCCGGACGATGGTTCAGAGGTCAAGCGAGAACACTCCGCATTCGACCGACGCGGGCGTCACCGCCTCCCACGGGCGCCAGTCGAGCCCTCTTCCCCAGGCGCAAAGCTCCTTCTCGACCCGGAGCTCGTGCTGCACTGTCTCGAGCAGCTCCGAGGTGACGGTCGAGCCGCGTTGGCGGGAGCGGCGGTTGCCGAGAGGTGCCTTCTTAGCCACTGTTTCAATAGAGCGGCGTTCGCTGAGTGGGGACCGGCGGGGCCCCAGTGGAGATACCATGGTTGGTTGAGATGCCGTGACCCCGGACCGATGTTGAGTACCGAGTCACGAGGCTTGCAATTCTCTTTTCCCCGTTTTGTTGTAAGACTCTTTTCCCCGACACTTGTGGCGGGACCATAATGCAATGTGAAAAAGAAAACCACGACGCGTGGTCGCGACCAGCTTTGCTCCCGCGGCAAGCTCTCCAGCAGCTCCGCTGCACGCCGCGCCCAGTGAGCTCCGCTGCACGCCGCAGACTCAGCTCCACCGCTGCACGCCGCGACCGCTTCCCTCCCGGTGAGGCGACACACACCCGCCGCGCTCCTATTATATCCATACATAAGGGCTTTCCTCCCTTTTTGGTTTGGAGATCCGTGTTTTGGTTTCGGTTTTGGGTAAAACGTATACAGCTGACGCGATGCGGCCTCTGCCTAGCTTCCTGCTTCTATGCGCGAGCTACGGCGGGACCGCTATCGAGTATGAAGAACCTTAAAAAAAGCCCGTTCCGCACCCGCACCCAGCACCAGTACACATGCCGTTCTGGCGCCCCTCGGCTGGCCAGAGGACGACTCACAATACAAAATCGGAAAGACATCACGAGGGGCCGTATAAACGGCGCCGCAACGGTCCGGGACACTAACAGTGAGTTGCTGCCACTCGCCCGGCCTCCTCCCCCTCGGGGTCGCCCGGAAAGTGGGCTTGCGCACCGGCGCCCCCCCCAGCACGCCGACCCGAGGTGTACCCTCCGGCCACCTGGGAGGGGAGCGGAGTCCGATTTTGGCCCATTGGCTTCATCATGATGGATACGGAGGTGGCCAGCCCTTGGTTGTGCACCTGCGGCGCGAAGAGGAGGTGATCTCGGCGGACGACGGCCATGCCGAGAGCGGGCGCAGCGCGGAAGAGGGTGCGCAGCGCGTCGCGGCCGCGCGCTTGGGAGCCGGGGGGGTGGCCGGAGGGGGCGGGACGCACGCCTGCATGTCCTCGAAGCTCCCAGCCGCATACGCAAGCCGAGCCGCGAACGGCGGGGAGGGAGTTTTGGAGGGTCAGCCAAGGACGCGCATGGCGAGTGACAAACTAACGCAACCTCGCCCCTCCCTGGTTTCTCATCGTGCGAGGCGGATGGAGAAAGAAGTGCCGAGGAGGCCATGGTGGAGGGGAGGGACGGGAGGACGAAAGAAGGGCGAGGAGGACGAGCGGCCCGCACAGGCCGCGAGCAGACAGCGCCTGCTGGCCATTTCGAGACATTCGCAAAGAACGCTAGCAACATGGGAGGGCTTCGTGAAGGATGGATTGAAAAACATTCGAACAAAGAAGAGGCGACGGGCGGAACCAGCAGAGTATGCAGTGACGTGACACCCCCCCCCCCTCACACACACACACACACACACACACACACACACACACACACACACACACACACACACACACACACACACACACACACACACACACACACACACCACACCACACACACACACACACACACACACACACACACACACACACACACACACACACACACACACACACACACCGCTCACCCACGCGCACTGGGCCTCTTGCACATTTAATGCCGTGGGGCTCCTGTCGTTAGACGTGGAGACGCGAGGGTCGCCCCCCCTTGCCCCACCACCTCGTGTGTGTGGAGAAGTTTACCTTACCTTACCTTACCTCATACTGTCTCCGAGTAGGTAAGTGGCAAGCAGAGTCGCCGGTTACGGCGCAGCAGCCTGCGTCTTCAAAAAAATGAAGTCTTCGGCACGGGACGCGGCACAAACTTCACAGTATGTGTTATTTGTGAGTGAGTATTCTTGATACTTGATACGAAACCACGACGACACACACCAGTCGACTCGTATCGGTTGCCTCCATGAACGGCGGAGCTATTCTCGCGCCCGCACCACACCTGGCTCCAACGTGGACACGCCCATAGCTGGGGACACTACTAGGTCACGCATGGCATCAGAAGTTTTATCTCTGGGCCCCGAAAGGCATCTCTAGCACACACACACACACACACACACACACAGTATGTGTTACGTCGGTTGCCGTGAACGATGCGGTGGTCGCCCGGGCCCCCAATCGGCAGAAGACGTCACACGTCGCCATCATTGTATGTATGCGTGTTCGCAGCCCGTGCGCCGCTTCAGTGATGGTGCTCCTCCTACCAAGCGTCGCCGCCACTCCCGAGGATGGAAATGTCTCCGCTCCGGCCGACTGCTGGTGGCGCGAGGCGCACGACTGCTGCGACCGCACCGGCACCGAGCTGCTGCCGCCGTCCGAGGTGGAGCGAGCGTACAATGAGTTTGTGCGCGAGGTTGGCGGCGCGGGTAAGGACAGCCTGTCTCGCACAATGCCGCCGCAGCTGCTCAGGTATCTCGAAAAAGTCCACTCGCACAAGAATGCGGGCGCCGCGTCGCTGCACGAGATGTACGCGCTGGCCGCCGCGATGCTGTGGGTGGCGCGCTGGCACGGCCCGTCGATCCGCAGCGTCGAGACGGGCTTTGCTCAGGGGCACTCAGCCCTCGCGATCGTGGCGGCGGCGCACGGCGGCGGCCACGCGATCAACCACACGGCGATCGACCCGTACCAGTTCAGCCGATGGGGCGGCAACGGGCGCGAGGTGATGGCGGCCTTTGATCAGAAGTGGCCCGACCCGCGCCGCCGCTTCCGCCACCTCGCGACCCCCGCGGCGGCCGGCCTGGCGGCCATGCAGAGCGGTGGCGCGTGCGTGCAGCTCGCGTTCATGGACGACGGCCACAAGTTTGACGACAACGTGGTGGAGCTGCACATGCTCGGGCTGATGATGCCGGTGCTCGGCGTCCTCGTCATCGACGACACGCCGATGCCCTCCGTCGCGGCGGTGGGCTCCTTCATCGAGCGCAACCTGCCCTTTCGGCGCGCCGTCGTCAACGAGCGCTTCGTCGCGTACGTCAAGGTGGGCCGCGACACGAGAAAGTGGGACCACTACGTGCCATTCAAGGGCGACTTCAAGCGCGCGCACCCGACCAAGGGGCGCGGTATGCAGTTCATGAAGAACGTGAGCGGGTCGTGGGCGCAGACGTAGATGAGCGCCAGAAGGGTGGTCCATGACTACTCTGAGCAGGGCTGTGCTTTGGTGGGGCTGTGTTTGAGCATGTGTGAAGCGGGAGTGCGTGCCGGCGGCGTCTGTGATCTCGTGTAATGTGCGCGTGAGGGCCCGTATGTGGGTTAGTTATGAGCCCGTGTGAGCTTTCAGACCCGAGACAAGTGCGGTTCGGGACAGCTCAGGCTTGCTACTGATGGGCCTGGGACAGGAGAGCGACAGAGAAGGCGAGGTGGTGAGCTGAGAGGCTGGAGAGTCCGCGCGTGACCTTGTCGCGAGATGGCGAGATGCAAGTGCGCAAAAAGCGTTGTTTGCGGCTATTGCTCAAAACTGTGGGAGAGGAGGCGCACTGCGCTCCGCCCGATCCCAGGCGGCCGAGGAAGCCGACTCCGCCGAACCCAGGACGCCAGCCAAGCCGGCAGACGAAAGTCTGCAACCCGCCCCCAACACAAACCGCACACACACATGACCACGAGCCCCGACAGAGGTGACCACCCACCCCCAGGCAAGTAGAGCACTTGTCTAGCTCGGAGAGAGCAGGGGTATGGGGCGGGAGCCAGGGGACAGCACAATGCCGACTTCACATGGAAGGCGATCCGACACTTCAAGGCGAACTCCCCCTCCTTCACTTCCAGGCCCCGGCCTTCCATTGTCTTAGGACTCCTAACACGCATGCGTGGGATTCTAGCGTGGGATGCCCAAAGGGGTACGGGGGAGGGGGGGGAGAGTAGTAGTGTCGTTCTTTCGCCAAAACGCAAAAAAAAAGCTTGCGCCGCTGACTTTGATGATCCCAACAGCACCCATGAATTGTGCTATCCCGCCATCCATGCGCATCGACCGCCTCTCCACCGGCCAAGCACTCACCCAGAATGGGTGCGGCATGCAGATGGCCACGGCCTCGCCGCTGGCGGGCGCGTGGATCGACGCGTACGATGGTCATCACCCGATCGTCGACGTCGGCTGTGCGTACGGCCTCGCGGTGAAAGAGGCGGCGGTGCGCCTCCAAAGCTTTTGCCCGGATTTGTCCCAACTACCCTCACGATGAGCGACGCCGCCGTCATGCCATCGATACTGAGCAAATAGGACATGGGACACACACAAGTGCACACCAGCACACCCACAGCGCGCGGCTGCCCACCTTTGCACAGCCGCCTCCCGGCCCTTGCTGCAGGCGCGCAGCGTGCCGGTTTTGGCCATCGACTGCTGCGAGGAGCACCTAGAGGCGGTGCGGCACACCTGCGCTGGCCTTCCCTCATTTGAAGGCGCGCGCTTTGGGAGATTGCCTGATGACCTGTCGCTGCCTGCGGCGTCCGCTTCCTCGATTCTGGTCGCGGAGGTCCTCCACTTCTTGAACGGCCCACAGTGCGACCGCGCGCTCGCGGCCCTCCACGCCACGCTCGTGCCGGGCGGCCTCCTCTTCGTCACAGCGCAGTCCGTGGAGGGGTTTCTCAAGGTGGTCTTTCCCGACGGCAATGCTGAGGCGCGGCGGGTCCGCGACGGCGTCGCCAAGCGTGCTGCCGCTGGAGAGCGCTGGCCCGGCACATACGTGATGGAGTCGGAGGACGTTGATCTCGAGCAGATCTACTCGGGCGTACTCCGGGAGAGCGTTGGCGCGCATCTGCCGCCCGAAGCGCTGCGCGCGGCGACGCCGAAGTACGAAGTGGTGCACACGGCGCAGCACCTGAGGGCGGGGGCGGAGCGCGCCGGGCTGATTGTGGTCTCGGCGGTGGAGACGAGCCACCCCGGCTACCCCGATGGGGCGGACGTCGTGCAGCTCGTGGCGAGGAGGCCTCTCTGACCTACTCTCTACCTACTCTCTGACCCAAAGGGATATCCCCCCAAAAAATTGTGTTTTGATCTCTTTCTCGCGCCACCGCCCACCCATCTCGAGCTTCGTACGGCTGTCGTCAGAGAGCAGATGCCAGAGATCATCTCGGAGTGGCAGATCCGACCCGGCAAGAGCGCAAGACCTCGAGGGACTGGTTCCGCGCGCGCGCGGCGCGAGGCCCAGCCCACAGCCACGATCGTTCACAAGAGAACGCACCCCAGAGTACGAGAGACCCTTCCCCATGGCTGCCACGGCGCCAGCTGTCCTTGCGCGCGGGCTAGGCCGCCTCCCGCGCCCTGGCCCTCGCAGCGGCACCTGACGCGCGCCTCGCCTTGGCTGCGGCGAGCGCCGCCTCTGCCGCCGCCGCTGCTGCCTCGGCCGCCGCTACTGCCGCCTCCTCCGCCTCCTCCTCCGCTGCGGCAGCCTCCTCCTCCTCCTTTGCCGCTGCCACAGCCGCCGCCTCCGCCTCAGCCTGCCGGCGCGCCTCCGCTGCCGCCTCCGCTGCCGCCTCCGCTGCCGCTTCCGCTGCCGCTTCCGCTGCCGCTTCCGCTGCCGCCTCCGCCGTCTCCTCGTCGCCCTCCTCCTCGCTCGCCTCGTCCGCCGCCTCTCCCAGCGCCTCCGCCAGCCCCTCGACCGACGTCTCCGGCGTGATGTTAAACCGGATCCTCTCCTCGGTGAGCGTCTCGAGAAGCAGGAGAAGCCTCGCCTCCTCGGCCTTCTTCGCCGCCTCGGCTGCGTCTGCCTCCGACGGCGCCTCGGCACCCTCCTCGGGCTCCTGCGACGGCCCAGCCCCGCCCGCCCCGCCGCCCGTCTTCTTCTTCTTCTTGCCCTTCTTGCCCTTGGCGCGCTTCTCCGCCTCGACCTCCGCCAGCAGCTCCTCCGCGTGCCGCGCCGCCTCCTTCTCCTCCGCCGCCCTCTGCGCCTCCCTCTCCGCCGCTCCCGCGGCCCACGCCGCCTCTGCCGCCGCCTTCTCCGCCGCCTTCTCCGCCGCCGCATGCTCCTTGAGTGCGCGCACGCACTCGGCGTGGCCCTTCTCCTTGGCCCACTGCAGCGCGGTGTTGCCGTGAGCGCGCAGCGTCGCATCTGCGCCCGCCCGCAGCAAGCAGCGAAGGGCGGCGGGGTGGTCTTGGAAAGCGGCGATCATCAGCGCGGTGTCGCCGGCGATGGTCTGCTGGTCGATCGCCGCGCCGTGCCGGGTCAGCGAGTCGACCACTTTCTCGTGTCCTGCGCCGGCGGCCTGCATCAGCGCGGTGTTGCCGAGAGCAGTTTGGTGGTTGATCTCCGCGCCGAACCGCAACGCCAACTCGACCAGCTTCTCGAAGCCATTCACGGCGGCGAGATTCAGCGCGGTTGCGCCTTTGATGTTCTGCAACGAGACATCCGCACCGCGCTGGAGCAGCGCCTCGGCCAGCCCCTCGCGGCCATCGGCCATTGCGACCATCAGCAGCGTCATGCCGCTCACAGGGCCGCCCGAAAAGACGTACTCGAACCTCGCGTTGACCCGCCCGCCGCCGTCGAGCCACGCCAGCACCGCCTCGTCATCGCCTCGCGCAGCCGCTAGCACGACCTCCACTGGCACCGCCCCGCCGCTCGGCTTGGCCTCCGCGCCTCCCTCGCCGCTCGAAGCAGAGGCCGCGGCACTCGCACCCTCCGCCGCGCCTGCGCCGCCTGCTTCGACCGACGGCGCCTTGCTCCGGGCCGCCGTCACCTCCCCGAGATACGTCCTGAAGGCTTCGACGCACTCGGCGTGGCCCTCCTCCTTGGCAAGCTGCAGCGCCGTCTTGCCGTACGCATCGCGCAACGTCATGTCTGCGCCAGCCCGCAGCAGGCGGACCACCACGGCGGGATAATTGCCGAGGGCGGCGAGCATCAACGCGGTGCCGCCGTTGTTGGCCCGCAGGTTGATCTCTGCGCCGTGCTGAAGCAGCAAGTCGGCCATCCGCGCATGGCCGTTGGCGGCGGCCATCATCAGCGCGGTGATGCCTGCGCTGTCCTGCAGGTTGATCTCTGCGCCGTGCCGCAGCAGCATCTTGGCCACCTCCTCGTGGCCGTTGGCGGCGGCGAGCAACAGCGCCGTACAGTCTTTGCTGTCTCGCGCGTCCACTTCCGCGCCGCGCTTCAGCAGCAGTTCAACCAGCGGCTTGTGACCGTGGGCGGCGGCGATCAGCATGAGCGTCCACCCACTCACATCGCGATTCACGCACGTCGCGTCAACCCGCCCATCCCCGGCGAGCCACGTCTGCACCACGCCGACCTTGCCGTTCTCCGCCGCCGCTTCGATTCTTTTCGGCAGCGCGAGCGGCGCAGCAGTAGCCGCCGCTGAAGCGTGCCCGCGCCGGGAGGCGGCTGAGCCAGCCTTCGTCCGTCCGGGCATACAACAGGGCGGGGTTCCGGTTGCTGTTGCTGAGCGCTCACACTCCCGCGCCGCGCACGCTTCGGAAAAAAGAATTTTGAGTCATAAAATTTATCTGCACAGGATCCCTCCCTTGGGGTGTCCGTTTTTTCTTTCTTTCTTTACTGGGACAGGACTGGCGCGTTTAAAAAAGAATTTTCGGCCCCAGTTTCCCGTGCCGGAGTGTTCGAAGAGAGAGTGGACCTGAGCAACAACATGACCTGGAGGCAAATGATTTTTAGCAATACCAAACAACTCTAACACTCACACGTTTGTTTGTCAAATGATCGGAGTGGGAGTCAGAAATGTGGTCCTTGCGCGAGGGGAGCTCGATAGACTCGAGGGGCCAGGATATGCAGCAAGGAGGGCGGAGCTGCGCCGAAAGGCGAAAGAAGCCGAGAGAACAAGGGAACGGCAGGCGGCGGCGGCGCAGGACGAGGCAGAAGAGAATGACGCGACAGAGGAGGAAGTGACAAGGGAGAGAACGACGAGAGTGGGACGGCCGCGAGGTGGCATGAAGGTTGCAGCGAGAAGCGGCGAGAGACTGCGAAAAGAGATAGGAAGAGGCAGACTCCCTAGGGTGGGCGACGGCTAGCGCATCACACCCCTCTCCTTAAAATCCCTGTGTGGTGGCGGCGTGCCGTCCTCCCATCCCTCCCTTGGGTTGTCTGTTTTCTTTCTTTCTTTCCTTCCTCCCATCCCTCCCTTGGGCTGTCTGTTCTTTTCCTTGCCTCCATCGCCCGTATTGCAAAACCGCCGTTCCCCCCTCGGACACGTCCTTCCCATTCATGATCACGGGCACAAAACCACGCAGTTGCGAGCTGGCGGCGGCGCGACGCGCCTCACGCCCTCGCGTTCAGGATGCGGGTGCCCCACCGCGTCAGCGCGCGCTTGGAGAGGTGCTGGCACTGGTGGTAGGCGGAGCGGCACGAGTGCGCGAGGCCGATCGCGACGAGGACGCGCGCGAAGCGCATCCCGTTGGGCTTTACTTGAGCCACTGGGGCAAGACCGTTGGTGGCAGCACCTCCAAGGTGGCGGAACGAGATCCGCCCTTCCTCAGGCCAGCCAACCTGAACCTGGTAAATAAATAAATAAATAAAACGGACACCTCTACTAGGAGATGGGTAAAAAGGAACAGGTCCCAGACAGGTCCCCGCCCTCGTGAACCTTGGTGCCCGCGGCAGAGATCTGAATAAAACGGACACCTCTACTATGAGATAGATGGGTAAAAAAGGAAGGAGCAGGTCCTTATGTTCTTTGTGTAGGGTTTTCTTTCAACAATATGTGCAACCAACCACGCCTTGTACTTATATCAGGGGCCCGCAGGGCACCGCTTCCTCTGGGAAACCCAACCCAAGAACCGACGGATACTTATGTCCTTACCCTTTTGCGCGCCCGCGAAATGGAGTCGGAGCACGGGCCCGTAGCGCAGCGCCCGTGCGTAATCCCCAGGGTAGGTATTCATCCGCAGCCCGCAGGCCAGGCGTGTCGGGTAGAGAGAGCGCGCCGCCATGCGCGTGCAGCGCGACTCGTCCGCAGGGGAGATGAGCGTGAAGTTGCCGCGGGCTCCCGATCTGGCACAGTCCTTCCACAGCAGCCAGTTGAGCGCAGCGTTGTCGTTGCCGGAGCAGCCGTGCGACCTGACCGGCTCCCGTTCGGCCCGAAGGAGCAGGTCCTGCGTCCACGCCGAGCTGCGCAGGAGGAGCTGGCCCGTGTTGATGGCGTAGTTCTTGTCCCCGCTGAAAACGAGGTCTGCTGTCTGGTAAGTTGTCCAGCGCTCAAGGCCGACGCAAAAGTCCATGAAGAGCGAGTCGCAGTCGGTCCAAAAGACCCACTCGTGCGACTTCAGCAGGCTGCGCAGCAGAGAGAGCTTGTGCCATCGGATGTCCCTGTGCACGTCCTCCTGCCGCGCCACGCTCGGCTTGTACAAGTAGCCGCGCGCCCGAGCGTACGCCGCGTGGTTTGCCATGGTCAAGTTGGCATACAGGCCCACCGTGTTGCGCTGCCCGTCGGGGGCGAGAGCGCGGTCGTCGTAGCAAATGGTCGTGATCACCAGCGGCTGTGAACGCAGCGTCGAAACTGGCTCCACCGCGAGAGCCATGGCGCACAGGATTGCCACCAGAGTCGCGGCGACGGTGAGAGGGGCGGTGAGGCGGCGCTAGGCGCAATGTGTTTGTATGACGCGCATGTTTTTTGTCAGTCTCTGTCCATTTTTACTATTTCTACCTTGCTGCATGGGGAGATCAAGTTATTAAAACTCCTGGGCTCTCAATGCCTAGCCCGCCGTTCTGTCAGCCGCGGCCCGCATGTCCAGACAGTGCGGGCCTCGACGCCACACTAGGTCCATTGGGTTGAACCCTGGCTTGTCTCGAAGGTGAGGTATAGAGGGTCACATGGGGAATGCGAACTCGTCATGATGCGCGGCGACGGCGGCGTCGATATCTATCGACGCCGCCGCCCCGCGCTCCAAAACGGTCGCGTACGCATATGCGCACAACTAGGTACGTGCTGCCCCCATTGGATTTGGGCCATACACCGTCAAAGGTCCCTCTCCACTCCTCCTTGCACCACTGAAGCATATGCAGCTGATGTGAGCAAGGTCGCCTAAGCGGCCCCCCTCGCTGTGGGTTGCCGTAGTTGGACCAATGCCACGCGTTGTGGCGAAGATGGCCTCATGCAGAGCCTGGCCGGGCCGTCTTCGGGCCCGGCCGCCCTAACAGTACGACGCATACGCGCCGCGACCGCTTCAAGTGTCGCCGCCGCCGCAAGGCGGACGGCGCCCGCCGCCCAGCCAACAGTGGCTAGGCCGGGGGAAGGGTGGATTCGAGCCGCCCGCACGCTCGTGCGGTAGGGAGGCTCGTGTAAAGCACGCCGTGCGCAAGCACAGGTGCGCGTTTGAAGCATTCGAGTCGCAGCAGCGAAGGCTGCTGCTTACTGGTTTGTGGCACGCCACGCGTCTCGCGCGGTGAGTGCTGAGATACGCCCCGAGCACGATCGCCGGGGCGGCTGCATGACTAGAACGACCCGTGCCGTGGCACAGGTCGAGTAGAGAGGGCCGCACACGCGTCCTTGCGGGCGGCCCGTTGTGAAGGATCGAGCACACCGAAGCGAGGTGTGCTCGTGTTGCAAGTGTCGCCGCCGCCGCAAGGCGGACGGCACCCACCGCCCAGCCAACAGTGGCTAGGGCGGGGGAAGGGTGGATTCGAGCCGCCCGCACGCTCGTGCGGTCGGGGGCTCGTGTAGGGCACGCCGTGCGCAAGCACAGGTGCGCGTTTGAAGCATTCGAGTCGCAGCAGCGGAGGCTGCTGTTTACTGGTTTGTGGCACGCCACGCGTCTCGCGCGGTGAGTGCTGAGATACGCCCCGAGCACGATCGCCGGGGCGGCTGCATGACTAGAACGACCCGTGCCGTGGCACAGGTCGAGTAGAGAGGGCCGCACACGCGTCCTTGCGGGCGGCCCGTTGTGAAGGATCGAGCGCGCCGAAGCGAGGTGTGCTCGTGTTGCAAGTGTCGCCGCCGCAACAAGGCGGACGGCGCCCGCCGCCCAGCCAACAGTGGCTAGGGCGGGGAAAAGGTGGATTCGAGCCGCCCACACGCTCGTGCGGTAGGGAGGCTCGTGTAGAGCACGCCGTGCGCAAGCACAGGTGCGCGTTTGAAGCATGGAGTCGCAGCAGCGAAGGCTGCTGTTTACTGGTTTGTGGCACGCCACGCACCTCGCGCGGTGAGTGCTGAGATACGCCCCGAGCACGATCGCCGGGGCGGCTGCATGACTAGAACGACCCGTGCCGTGGCACAGGTCGAGTAGAGAGGGCCGCACACGCGTCCTTGCGGGCGGCCCGTTGTGAAGGATCGAGCACACCGAAGCGAGGTGTGCTCGTGTTGCAAGTGTCGCCGCCGCCGCAAGGCGGACGGCGCCCACCGCCCAGCCAACAGTGGCTAGGGCGGGGGAAGGGTGGATTCGAGCCGCCCGCACGCTCGTGTGGTAGGGAGGCTCGTGTAGAGCGCGCCGTGCGCAAGCACAGGTGCGCGTTTGAAGCATTCGAGTCGCAGCAGCGAAGGCTGCTGTTTACTGGTTTGTGGCACGCCACGCGTCTCGCGCGGTGAGTGCTGAGATACGCCCCGAGCACGATCGCCGGGGCGGCTGCATGACTAGAACGACCCGTGCAGTGGCACAGGTCGAGTAGAGAGGGCCGCACACGCGTCGTTGCGGGCGGCCCGTTGTGAAGGGTCGAGCGCGCCGAAGCGAGGTGTGCTCGTGTTGCAAGTGCCGCCGCCGCAACAAGGCGGACGGCGCCCACCGCCCAGCCAACAGTGGCTAGGCCGGGGGAAGGGTGGATTCGAGCCGCCCGCACGCTCGTGTGGCCGGGAGGCTCGTGTAGAGCACGCCGTGCGCAAGCACAGGTGCGCGTTTGAAGCATTCGAGTCGCAGCAGCGAAGGCTGCTGTTTACTGGTTTGTGGCACGCCACGCGTCTCGCGCGGTGAGTGCTGAGATACGCCCCGAGCACGATCGCCGGGGCGGCTGCATGACTAGAACGACCCGTGCCGTGGCACAGGTCGAGTAGAGAGGGCCGCACACGCGTCCTTGCGGGCGGCCCGTTGTGAAGGGTCGAGCGCGCCGAAGCGAGGTGTGCTCGTGTTGCAAGTGCCGCCGCCGCCGCAAGGCGGACGGCGCCCACCGCCCAGCCAACAGTCGGTAGGGCGGGAAAAGGTGGATTCGAGCCGCCCGCACGCCCGTGCGGTAGGGAGGCTCGTGTAGAGCACGCCGTGCGCAAGCACAGGTGCGCGTTTGAAGCATTCGAGTCGCAGCAGCGAAGGCTGCTGCTTACTGGTTTGTGTGGCACGCCACGCGTCTCGCGCGGTGAGTGCTGAGATACGCCCCGAGCACGATCGCCGGGGCGGCTGCATGACTAGAACGACCCGTGCCGTGGCACAGGTCGAGTAGAGAGGGCCGCACACGCGTCCTTGCGGGCGGCCCGTTGTGAAGGGTCGAGCGCGCCGAAGCGAGGCGTGCTCGTGTTGCAAGTGTCGCCGCCGCCGCAAGGCGGACGGCGCCCGCCGCCCAGCCAACAGTGGCTAGGGCGGGGGAAGGGTGGATTCGAGCCGCCCGCACGCTCGTGCGGTAGGGAGGCTCGTGTAGAGCACGCCGTGCGCAAGTACAGGTGCGCGTTTGAAGCATTCGAGTCGCAGCAGCGGAGGCTGCTGCTTACTGGTTTGTGGCACGCCACGCGTCTCGCGCGGTGAGTGCTGAGATACGCCCCGAGCACGATCGCCGGGGCGGCTGCATGACTAGAACGACCCGTGCCGTGGCACAGGTCGAGTAGAGAGGGCCGCACACGCGTCCTTGCGGGCGGCCCGTTGCGAAGGATCGAGCGCGCCGAAGCGAGGCGTGCTCGTGTTGCAAGTGTCGCCGCCACCGCTGCACGCGGGCTGGGCTATCGCCTGCAGGATGAGGCTAAAAGAGGCATAGTTCCCCGCGTAGAACACATAGCAAAAGGACTCCCAATCTAAGCAAAGCCAGTTGCTCCATCCGGATGACGCATCAGAACTGAGAAATTTCCGTTGACAGAGAGCTGCTCGTGTGACGACGTGTGGTGTCCATCCCAAATGCGCCGCTGGCGCACTGTGGGGCGGGGGGGGAGGTCAAAGCGAGTCGCCCAGGCTCCCTGCTGGGCGGCTCGCGTCGTGTTTGTAACGGTTCGAAGAAGCTCTTTGTTGACGGTTGCACCGTGAACAGGAGATTGGTCGAGGCTATGCACAAGCGATGCGCGTAGACTCCGTGTGGCTCTGGGCTGCAGCCTGTTAGAGAGCCGAGTCGCTTTAATAGCACGGCCGGGCACGGTCGTACCTCGCGTGCCCTCTGTGCGAAAATGTCTTCTTTCTGTGTGTGGGAGCGCGAGCGAGGGGGCGGAGGGACGAGGGAACGAGGAGAGTGCGAGCCGCGAGAGCGACAAGGACATAAATAACAGATAGGTCGTCCTTCCTGCAAGTAAGTACCAAGATCCTGCACACGACACGAGCGCGGTGTAGACGATAGATAGAGTACCCCGTTTGTGCCGCGTCTTGTGCCCCCGAGTTCATTTAATATAAAATAGATTAGGAAGACGGTCAGTTCAGTTTTCGAAATATTCTGGCGCACGGCTCTCTTGACTCTTCTTCTTGCCATCAGGGGGCGTATCGGCCTGAGTTACAGGACGACTCCTGCATGGGCCTAGCTATAGGGTTGCAGATATTCAGATTGGTTTTGGTGACATGACGCGAGGTCACATGGAGACGCCGAGCTTACCGTCATCACCACTAGTGAGCTCTACGCACTACGGTCACCGCACCCTCAGGCAAGCCCCCGCCCGCGCGCGCCGCCAGGCCCTCCGCCACCACCATAGTTGCCACCACGGCCCTGATACGAGCCACGCCCGCCGCTGGCCCTCGACGAGGGCGAGGCAGCGGGCGGAAGGCTCATCTTGTATTTGCCGAGCAACGTCTCGGCAAAGGCAGCTCGCGCAGGCCAAGCGACTATGTTGAGTGTTGGCGCCTTCGTATTAAAGATAGGGTGCTGCGGACACAAGTCGGCGAGCTGAAGCAGGTGCTGCTCGCCGAAGAGGTAAGCCTCGTAGCCGTGATTGCGGAGCAGGAGCACGCTGTCGAGTAGGCTCCAGTTGGCTGCGACCTGCACGCGGTTGTTCTCGAAGAAGATGAGGTCGACGCGCCCGGACGACAGCAGCTGCGGTGCTCCAGCTAGAATCGGACCGTCCATTCCCTCCGCGTCGATTTTGAGGAAGGCGAGGCGCTGCGACGCCCCGAACGGCAAGGCGCCGAAGAAGGCGTCGAGCGATGTGGCGGGCACCCGTTCCAGCACAGCGGTGTGCAACGATGTGCGCGCGAGCATGCTCATGCCTGCCAAGTGGACACGCAGAGGCATTCCTCGGCCAGCGAGCCCAAAGTGAGGGGGGGGGACACACAGAATAGAGGCATGGACAGAGGCAATTCCTCAGCCAGCTAGTCAAAAGCGAGAGAGGAGGCTGGAGCACGCACGCGCAGTCACGGCATGCAGCTGCGCGGGTGCGGGCACCGTTGTTGCGGTCCGTCTCTTTCAGCCACTGGTGCAGGCCCATGATGGCCACCTCGCTCGCAGGCTGCTGCGCCATGGCCATGTGGTGTATTGTAACATGGTCCATGCCACGCATGCGCCGCTGCAGCAGGTGCACGTTCTTGCTCATCACTTCGAAGACGTGCAGCGAGGCGTTGGGCCAGAATTGTGCGAGTAACGCCGTGAACTCGCCGCGGTTGCCACCCACGTCCACGAGCAAGGACGCATCCTTCCTACAGCTTTCAGCATATGCACGCACAAAGCGGTGCTCTGCTGAGTTGGTGTTAGAGGCGACAACGTCTTTATTAGAGTAGGGCGCGAAGCTGAATGTTCGCAGATGCGCTGAGGAACATGCACTGTGGATGCTCAGCTTGGCGGCGCGCGCGACCATGATCGCCATCAAGCCCAAAATGGTGTTGTGGGGCATCGTTTTGCTGGCGGCCTCCGCAGTTTGGGACTTGGTCCCTGTCGGCCGCCCAGAACGCACGGAACTCAGCAAAAACGAGGACGATGAATACTGACCGCCTTTCGCTGCGTTCACTTTCGCTAGTCGCAACTGCTAGTCGAGAGAGATCGCCCATGGAGTAGGGAGTCCAATGTGCTGCGAACCTGTCGCGGTCCCTTTTGTCATCAGGAGCAGGAGGACTAGCTAGGAGAGCGCAACCAACCAGTGGGAGGCCATACATACACACCACTCCCCCGGAGAATCAAATAAGTGGTAAATACCACTCATTTACAATGGCAAGAGTGGTCGGACTGTGTTTCGCCTTCCCATCAATCAATCAAGAGTGCCGCCTCGGTAAGGTGGAAGGAATGCGTTGCGTATTCTTGCATTTTTGCTCTCTGCTAAGAGAGCATTGAGCGGGCGCGGCGGGCGCGGGAGCGGCAGGCAGGGGGGGCGCCCCCTTGCGGCGCGGCGATTGGGCCGTTGGGAAGCCTCGCCGCGTCGACGTGGATGAGCGCATCAGGAACGTGAGGACGATCTTCAATCAATGCCATGACCGTTGATGTTGCGCCACGGGCCGCCGTGCGCCGACAGTCTCAGACGTCCAGACGGCAGAGAGGCTCGCAGAGGCGCATTGGACTTCTTGCCAGAGGCGTTGGATAGCGGGACGGGCTAGCGCGAGGAGGCAAGGCGAGGAAGAGACAGCAATGAGGTAGAATAACAAGGCCTGTGAATGAATGAACCTTCCTTCCTTCCCTAGGTCCGCCTCTCACACCCTCACTTGTCTGCGATGTGAGCTTCTTGTTTGTTATCAACCTATCTGTGAAATGCAGCCCCTCGGGATCTCCGATGAGGTCGCGGAGCTACGGGGAAATGTCGCCGTGAGACAACGGTTGGCAACCGAAAAAATAAATCTGCCCTGAGCTGGTGTGTCCAATTTCTGGTGTAATGACGATCGGGGTAGCCCTGCTGTCCTGCACCCTCGGGCTGCACGCGTCGCCCGGCGGCCCGGTAGTGCGCGGCGGTCCCGGCGCCGTCTCCGACTCCGCCGCCGTCGTCTCCGCCGCCGCCGCCGCCGCCGCCGCCGCCGCTGCTCCGAGCCGCGCAGCCTCATCGGCTCGCATGGCGCTCAAGCTCGACATGGATCCGACCGAGATGGCGCAGCTGCTCGAGGAGGGGCCAGCGGCATCGCAGGGCCCGTTCGGCAAGGGCGGCGCGCTCGAGTGGCTCGCAAATATCCTCGACAAGGCGGCGGAGGACACGCTGACGCTGCTGCACGCTGCCGATGACAAGGCGGTGCAGGACAGCTCGAAGAACCTGCAGGTGCTCTGGTCGCGCGCGGTGCTCGCGAAGAACGGCGAGCTGGAGGACAGCGTCGCCTTCGAGATGCTGCCCGAGAGCACCCGCGGCACCGTCACCGCGGGGCTCTTTGACGGTACGCCGCCGCTGCCGCCGCAGTAGCCGCCGCCGCAGCCGCCGCCGCCGCAGCCGCCGCCGCCGCCGATCGTTTGACGGTGCTACGGCCCTCGCCCTGTGCAGGGACGCTCCCCTTCCTCGAGTGGGTTGCTGCGCGGACGGCCTTCTTGAACGAGGGCGCGCCCTATGCCCTGTCAAGCAGTTTTCATGCCCTGTGCCCTCGCCTGCCGCCGCCGCCGCCGCCGCCCTCGCCGCTGGCCTGCCACCACCCTCCCCCCACTTGGCTTGCCGCCCCCGCCCCCGCCGCCACTGCCCTCGCCACCACTGCCCTCGCCACTCGGCTTGCCCCTCCGCCACCCTCGCCACCACTGCCCTCGCCGCCACCGCCCTGCCCCTCCGCCACCCTCGCCGCCTTCTAGCTCGGCCTTCTAGCTCAGACCTTGCAGCTCACCGCCGCCCGCCCTTCCCGGCGGCGCAGGGCACAGAGGCGTTCCTCTTCTAGGAACCTTCTAGGAACCTTCTAGGAACCTTCTGGCTGTGAGCAGGCACAGAGGCGTTCCTCTCTTCTCCCGCGTGCGCGGGGGGCGCGAAGTGCCAGGTGCACCCGCCACACACACACGTGCACGCACGCACACACACACACACGCACACACACACACACACACACACACACACATAGCCACACACGACACGCACATACACACACACACACAGACGCGCCCACGCACACAT